GCTTACTATCGACTGTAATCACAAGTTCGACATCATTTGTAACAGTCAAAGGTTCCTGTTTTCGGCTACATCAGAAGTATCTCATAAGCTGAGCCGTCTTTTCAGTTTGCTTTCGTCGTCATCCGTATTGACGAAAATGTCACATCATTGACTACTTTTCGGGGAAACTGGACCTTTAACACTTTAGGCCTGTACAAAATTTGGTAATTACTGTGTTGCCTTAGAATGGCATTGTTATTTTTTTCTATCCGAATAAGATCTTCTGAGTTACCAACCGTTCCATGTTTCCTTTGATAAGCATCTCATAAAACGACAAAATATCGCCCGCTGCACCCTTGATTGGGGATCGGAAATTTATAAAGAAAGAATTCTAACTTAAAGCGAATTCGATAGAATCCTACATTGGGTCATAGATAAGCACACGAATGCATTACAGGACTTGGTGAAATAAAGAGTATACAGTCTGGGCAATACAATGGAAAAAAAATTTAAATAAAAAATTACATTTATTAAAGTTGAAAAAACAGAAATTATCAATTAAATAATCTAATGTTTTAAATTTGCTAAAATCCCTAATCACCTGTCTTGGACGCCGGTCCGTCTAGATATTGACATCCTGACTGCAGCTTGCCCAACCATTCCCCACCCCCTCCCCCCCCAACAAACCTGACAACAATAAGACTACATCTGTCCACCAACCAGCATAGTTCATTAGTTTCATTACCATATAAATGTAAAGGTCTGACGAAAATTTATCGGAAACAAATAGATGTCCGCCTATTTATCTTCTGAAATCTAATGTTTGTCAAAAAAGCACATCATACTTAAAAATATGCAACCATACAAATATTAGGAAATAACTCAACTAAAAAATGAACAATTTGAACTAAAATTGACTAACTACAAAACATAAACTAAAGTAAGATACACTCACTTAATTAAAAAAATGGCAAGCGAAACTCGCCGTATCATGCAATAGCGAAGTGGTTTGCAGAGAAATTCAGGCCCATACAGCAACTGCTGGCACCACATAGCTATCAAGATACGTTCCAATTTATCGATGGCATCAAAGACGTGAACTTAAACGGCATGAGGATGATCTCCCTAGACGTCTCATCGCTGTTTACAAACGTCCCATTAACAGCGACAGTCGACTACATCTGCAGGTTTGTAGTGGAAAATCAAATAGAAGTAGGAATACCACCTGATATATTAAAGGCACTTTTACTCAAATGCACGTTAAATGTCCTTTTTGACAACCAACTATACAGACAAATAGACGGCGT